CCTCAGGGCCTCTGCGGCAGCTACACCTTCACCCCCTACGCGGTGACCCCTCAGAACAACGTCTGAGGGAGCCCAGCCCTGCGGGTGAATCGGGTGTAACCCCCCTAGGAGCCTCCCAGATCAGCTACGGGCACCTTGCCATCACTTTTTTAAAATCACAGAGACCTGCAGCGGGCTCAATCCGGTCGCTGGAGACCCCAGCGGCCCTGCTGGCCGCCTGTGGCGTCAGCGCTGGGGGTTGCGGAGTCCCTAACACCATTTCCTTCCCGTTTTGTGAGGGGAAAATAGGGAGCTGGGCCACCAGCAAGCGGCTCTTCTCGGTCAGACTTCCACAACCATCGCTAAAACCGGTGCTTTCTGTCCCTTGGCAGACTTTGACGAGCAGACTGCGGACGACTGGGATGTGGACATGAGCGTCTACTATGACAAAGGTATCCGAGCTGAAACACCCCCCGGGAAACCAAGGGGTTGGGAAATTCTGACCCTGCAGAAGTTCTGCAGTGGGGAGCTCTTGGGCTCTGTCATCCTTTGACGGCGTCCAAGACGTCAGTGGGCTTGAAACGACGTTTTTCTTGTCTGGTGGTGAGAGTTGCCAAAAAAACAGGTTCTGCCTCCTCCTTGCGTGGTGCTCTGGGGGAAATGACGGTGGTGAACGGCTTTCCCGAGCTGTGCTGCTCTGACTCCTGGGTCTTTCTCCCCAGATGGAGGTGATAAGGATGCTCGGGACTCGGTCCAGATGTGGCTGGAACAGCGGCTCCGGGACGGTTTGGAGGATGGCTCCGTTTCAGGGCAACGGGTTGGCACCTTCGAGAGATACACCAGGGTGAGGATACGTGCTCGGGGGAGGATGGGGCAGGGCAGGAAAGGCGGTGGTGGCGATGCTCGGAGGGTGTGGGTTAGGGGGAAGAGAGGTCTTGGGTGTGGGGAGGGAGCAGAGCGTTCTGGAAAGATGAGGGTGGGCTTTGTCCAGCAACTCTTGTGAGCTTTTTTTTTTCCCCCCCCTCTCCCAGGGCTTTGGCAGGAAGGTGTTGGAGCAGCAGGGCTGGACGGAGGGGCTGGGGCTGGGGAGCAGCAGCTCTGGAATGGCCGAAGCTCTGGACAACGAGGGTCAGAACCCCAGATGCAAGAGGGGGCTGGGGTAAGTACCCAACCCTGCCCTGCGGGCCCGTGTTCAGAGCCTCTGCCTGGGCTCTCTGGGCTGCCGCAGCGGCCAGCTGGCCGCAGAGTGTGAACCAGACCTGTGAGGCTGCCCCAGGGATCTGCCACAGCGCTCCAGAGCTAAATACGCTGCTCTTCCTCACGGTCCAGGGCTCCTGAGAGGAGCTTGTGGGGTTAGAGTAGGGCTGGGACCGTTTGCAGCGCACAAAAGCAGAGGGAGGGCTGTGCTCGAGGGTTGAGGGTCACCTCTGCTACGATATCCTGGAGGGGAAGAGCCCAAGGGAGCTGGGCTGTAGCTGTGCACCTCACCCCTGCCTTCTCTGTGGGGTTTCGGGGGGCTCCGTGCAGCGCCGAGTTTCGCTGTGAGGGATGACTCTTGTTCTAGAGCAATATTGCCGCCAGGAATGCGACGAGAGTCCTGATGGCCCCGTGTCTGTCCACTTCTCCCCTGCAGCACGTGAAGGAAATGAGCTGGGATGCACGGGGCTGCCCAGCTGCCTCAGCAACGTTGGATCAAACGTTTTCCTGCTTCCCTCTAGGTACCACGGGGAGAAACTGCCGACTTTCAGCAAGGTGAAAAAGCCCCGGCGGGACGCTCCCGTCCTCATCTCGACCGTGTACGATGACCCTGACCCAAAGGACAGCGGCGACCAGCTGCTCAGACGCCAGCCACCCACTGCCATGAAGTACAGGCAGGACATGGCGTTTGTCCGGGCGTCACACGGTGCTCTGAAGACCTTCAGTCCCCAGTCACGCTGAGCGGAGACTGTCACAGAGCCTTCCTACTGGTTCTGCTCCCGTCGAGCCCAGGCTGGCTCCTGGTCTCGGGTTTGGAGCAGGATGTATTTATTTTTGTAAGAAATATAGGCTTGTAACAAAAATTGCCTCGCTGGGGTGTTTTTTTCACCTGATTGAGCCGTTTAAATGAGGGGGAATAGTGCCGGTCCTGTTTGTTCGGTGGGAACAGGGACGGGTGTTGCATTTCTCACTGGTGGTTTAAAGCTGATGCTGCTCCCTGGATCGACCAAGCTGGTGTGCTGGGTCAGCCTAAAAAACCAGAACTCGTAGTTCATGGCTGCCTGAGAGCCAGGGCAGGGCAAGTACAGGCAGGGCCAGCCGCGGCAGGGTAACTGTCCTGCCGAAAGCTCGCTCCTGGCCCGCAGCTTCGCGTTGGCTTGGGCGTGACGATCCCACACTCCTGGGAGAAACTCATCGGGATGAAAGACTCGTCCTGGCAGCCTCCGGAGGAATTCTGTGGGGAGGCGTTTCCCTGCGGTTGGGTGTAGCGGGTGCTTCCTTCCACGGCTCTCGTGAACGTGCCCCGTTTTCCTGACGCAGGCAC